GCAATTTGCGCTATTTTTGCAATTATTTGGATAAAGATAAATGGATTTGGCTAAATTTGTGTACACCGAAGGTGTTTTGAGGTTTCGTATATAACACCCTATGCATGTATTTGGTAAAAGTAATTGATTTCATTGTTTTTGTGCGATTAATCGCCACTAGATATGACTCGTCATGGATATGACTTTGCAAAATATACTGTTTCAATTGGATGGATGTATTTGGCACAAATTAATCGAAAGTTATAAATAAACTGTAAATAATCTAATTTTAGATCTGTGCAAGCAAAGTATCAGTCTGGAAAGATCGACACCAGAAATCAGTAATCTAAAAATGTATCAATCGATGTTAAAACTATGAATCAAATTATGAAAAGATGATACCAGTATTAATATGAAGTTATGAATGTAAATAATCTAATTTAACATCAGTACAAGTAAGGTATCAGTTTGGAAAGATCGATACTAGAAATCAGAAATCGAAAAATGTGTCGATTGACGTAAAAAGTATGAAACGACGATATCACGAAAATACGAAACTAAAAGTGTCAATTGAAAGAAAACTAAACTAACCCTAATTTAACGGTTTTAATAGTGATATTGATCTTGAAAATTTGAAACGATTTGTCTTGAAAGTTTGATGAAAATATCTTCAACGAAATATTTATCCTAAAAATGTCATCATCAACGTCTAACCTAAAAAAATGTCATGTCATCTGACAATGATGTCAAGAATCTGAAAATCATTTATTTTTCACGTAACTCAACAAAATGTCACCGATGTTTTTATAAAACCGTTCGTTGTATTGAAGAGGGAACGGTTCTTTATCAATGAGCGCGTTGTGTGCCACACAGAACGCGGTGCGTCGTCGCGGCGAGGGTGGGAACCAATCAGAACTGCAACATAAGTGACCACGAGGTTAAGCGCAATGCTGATTGATTCTTCATCCTCTACGCGACGACGTGCCGGACTCTGAGAACACCATGGCGCCACTTACGGTAACTCAAGGAAACTTGCGAGGAATGCGGGTGCAAGGATAGGAATGCGGGTAGAAAACGATGATGAACACTTCGAGAGAGTGAAACGTGACCTTGAATGTTTTCAAATTGGCGTAGCCTATAGTTGATAGCTCTAAAAAATCTGAAAAAATTACAGGCTCTACAAAACGGAATGTACTTTCTTTATGTCAAATATTAATCCATGATAAGTTCTGTTATTCGAGAAATAAATATTTATCAAACTGAAGTGCCGAAATTTAGCGTTAAGTATCCAGTGCCGATCGCCTATGCTTTTAAATGTACTTGGTGCGAAACTCTATCGAGTTTCCTGATAAATGAATAAAGCGTTAAATGGATAAAATTCTATACCTAATGTTTGCTATATATAATTACTTGTGAAACGCTAAAAGAAATTTGAAATTTAATTGGTCGTAAATTTTATTGAATTATGTTTTACTTTATGTGAATTGCGCCTATTTAAATATTAATTAGTCATTTGTTACCGAAATTTTATTGTCTGCGAATTTTATCGAACACTATTTGGAATGAGTTAACCTATCTGATGTTATCTTGTCTATCAAATTTTATTATCTGTGAATTCTATTTCTTGAGTGAAAATACTTTATTCTAAATGGATTAAATTGTATTTGCTGTTGATTGCTCATAAAATTTTATTCATTGTCAACCTTGTCAAATATCATTTTGATTCGACGTGACTCAGTTTGTTTGTCTGTTAACATTTTATTAGTTGTAAATCCTATTAACATTATTCCGAGTGGATGGAATACACTAAGAAGTTGATATTGTTTTTTAATTTCTGATTATTGTAAGCTTTGCTAAATCTGTTACTTAATTAAAATATGATTATATGTAGAGTCTGTTCGGTAATTTGCGAATGCTTGTGTAATATGCGAAATGTTATACTGTGTTAACTGCTGTTTAATTGTACTATTTGTGAATATCATTGTGTTTCCTCGAATTAATTGAGAATCATCTTCATTTCCTTAAGATTTAATCTCTATTGGTTCATCGAGTATTATTTTGTAATTAAAATTCATTGTGTCCAAATTTATTGTACTGCTTTCTATGTGAAATTCATTGTCTGGACTTTGATTTTTGAGAGTTATGTCGGAAACTGTTCTGGATCAATTGAGATATTTTAGCGATCTTAATTTGTGCATTTTTTACGAATTTTTTTAGACTATCTTATCCGATTTAATCGAGTCTCACATAATGTTGAATTTGTAACTCTGAATTTAATTTCACATTTGATACGTTCATTCATATAAGGGGATTGAGAGTTCGGTGGTATTTGTTTCTGCGAATCGTTGTAAAATTTCATTGTGTAAATTGAATGTCGTCTGAAGTTGAATTTGCTGTTAACCTTCGATTTTTAAATACTTCACTGAATGCTACTATTGTAATTGATTGTTTCCTAATTTTAAGCTCGGTTCCAAATTTGCATCTTATAATACTGTACTGAAATTTAATTTGAATAGATTAATTCCTAATTAACATTAAATTTGTATTTTTAAATCTTGGTTTCCTATGAATTCTTATTAAGTCCTATGCCATTTAATTGATCATTGTTTTATATCGAAGTCGTACCTCTAAATTTGAATTGGTGCTTTCGAATTTTGGGCTAACATGACATTTAACGAGACGTGAAGTAGCCTAGATTTTAATTTTGTCAAACTAGATAGTAATTTCAACACCCAAATCCTTGCAAATTTCACTGTATAGTGTATGCTTGTAATTGTATTTTCGTGTTCACATATTGTTCCGATTGAAATTGTAGACACTTGACCCACATATATCCTAAGGAACACGCCCTAGTTTTATTCAAAATCTATCTTTAAGGTTGTTACATAGTTATACAATTTTGTTAACCGTTAATGCCCCTAGTCTTGTTTAGTTCCGTCCTTGACCCTCTGTGCACCCCAGTCCTTGCCTCTACGATTGAGTTCCTGGCCAAAAAGGGGGATTGATCCGTAGTACAGGTAAGTTGATCTGTATTCGGATCTAATTATTGTTACCATTTTGACGTAACAGAAGTTTGATTTGGGAATTAGAAATGTTACTCCGTGGTCTGGGGGACCATGTTGTACATTTTGTCGACGATCTCTTGTACCTCTCGAAAGACTTCTGAGAGCATATGAGGCATTTGGAAGAGTTATTTAAGCGAATGGTCCATTACGAAATGACTATGAATTTTAAGAAATGCCATTTCTTCAAGGAAGAAGTAAATTTCCTCGGACATGTACTCACGCCCGAAGGAGTAAAACCGCAAGAAGATAAGTTGCAAGCTATTCAAGAATTTCCAAAATCGAAGAATCATAAACTGCTAAGAGGATTTTTAGGATTAGTAAACTTCTATACTAAATTCACCAATAGACACGCGCATGAGGCGAGAACCGTTCTGAACTCGTTAAAAAAGGGAACGAAGTATAAGTGGGAGATGATTCACGATGAAGCATTTGAACCAGTCAAATCATTTGTAACGATAGAACTCGAGGGCGCGAGTTAGGTGGCAACCTCGCGCGCCGCGGTCCACGTTCGGGTCTCTTCCCGCGACAGTGGCCCGCTCGGAGCGTTTGAGTATCCGAGGGGTAATGCCTGGGTGGAGTAAGATATTCTCAGGTTTTCGGTAACAATACCGAGAGTAAATTTCTCATCCTTTCCTTTCCTGGAATTCGAGTGATAAATAACGGAAGCGCCTTTAATTAGATTAGCATTGCACCTAATTTAATTATAGCGGTCCGAAAATTAAAGAATATTGCCAGAAAATTAAATCGCCACATTCGTACGAAAATGTTGGACTCCGGAACACCTGACGTTAGAAAAAATCGCTCAAACCGAATTAGATCGGCAGGCCTCGCGAATCTCAAAATATTGACGCACTCAGCTGTTCGCTCCTGAACCGATCTCCTCGCTCTCTCATGACTCTCAAATCTTTCGAAAATTAAATTCAAATTAAAACTCGTCTCAGGAATCGTGAGGCTCGGACCTTTGAAGGCTGACTTTAGTCCGTGCAAAAGCTCGGACTAGATTCAGACCATTATAGTATTGTTACGACTGAGTTGGTCGAATTAATTGAGATTTGGAATTTTAATTAATNTCGGCCAGTATCGGGTCGCGAGATATCTCGTCAAAAGCGTTAATCGGCCAGTATTGGGTTGCGAGATATCTCGTCCAAGGTAACAAAAGGGTTAAGCACAGATGACTAGAAGAATAGATTAAGTATAGATTAAGTCATCCATTAAGTAGTATTTTTTCTTATTTTTGAAAAAAAAACGCGTTACTTATAAGATAACCCATTTTTTTTGTAATAAAATGAGGTTCGCTGTTCAAAATATTGTATATTGCCATCAGATGTGACGATAATATCCAGTAAAAGGGGATATCCATTGTAGCGTGGGAAAATACTGCTCCTTTCTGAATATTTTCTATCATGCCCATAAAGCAGGATTACATTAATTATTCAACTATACTCTTTTCGTTGGTAATGCCATTTCGGATACTTGAGTAGTAACATAAGCTGGCATCCCACATTACCAACATTAATATTTATGTTGACGTCTGTTACACCCTAAATTGAGAATTATACGAAATGAAGCACTCCATATGCCATTTTAGTAGAATGTTCATAAAGAGATCGAAGTAAAATTGAAAAAAATCCCTTCGAGTCATGATTTTCAATACGTTAAGATCAGCCCTATTTAGCGGCAACTAAATTTTTCAAATAAAAGAATATGTTTCAACAGTTCAAAATATAATTATTTCCATTCAAAAGCATTCACTGATCTACCTGCTTTATGGACGTTACACAGAATAATAAAAAAATACATTTTTTCAGCCTTTTCAAGGTATGCCACTCATACACAGACCGTTAAATTTACAATTAAGTAAATTCAAAAATATTTGACGGTTAATTAACTAGTCACGTAGAGAAAATTATTAGGAAAAGATGAAATCCATATACTATACTGAAGATTAATACGTACGTTTTTAAAGTACCAGAGGTCATGAGTTCGGTGACTAGAACGATATACTTTCTGCGTGTAAGCGTAACTTCCCAGTAATCATAAAATCGTACAATATTAGGATGTTGCAGTCCTTTTAGCATTTCCGCTTCCTCGCGAAATCTCAGTCTTTCCGTTTTATTTAACTTTTTTTCCTGAAATCGAAAGGTTTATTAGTCATGGAAATGTCCGACAATAATGTTAAGGAGGTATGCGCTAGTAAACGGTCGAAAAAGTTGTACTTTTTTTTGTACTTAATACTTTTCTACGATTTTTCACAAATAAGAACGTGGCGGAATTTTTAAAAATGTTGGACATTCTAAAAGTTCTGAAGATTTAAAGCTGAGCAGGTACAAGGCGAAAATTACAAAAAATGAATAATATGAAAGAGTGAATTCAAAATGTATTTGAATGATGTAAAACTCAGAGAAGAAATTGTTGAAAAATAAGGACTTTTACATGGGTCAGAAATTACTGACTTACCAGAGGTATACAAATCTGATCGTTATTGGAGTAAAAATACAATCGATAACTTTAAAGGCGCTTTTCTTAAAACTACACATTCCATGTTGTTTCCCACGATATCATGGTAACAGATAGAAATAGACTTCTAATTCAGCTCATTCGATTCATAAATAAATCCTTTGTCGCCCCTACCTCAATTACATTAATAGACTCAAAATTTCGACCTTTTTTGGCCGATGAAAATAAAAAAACTGAAAGCATTCTTTTCAGCTGCTATTTTTTTTAAAAGAAGTAAATATTTACTTCGGTAGGGACGATAGCCACAATCTTTCTGATTATAAGAAAACAAATTTTTCATTCTTCTCACATCAATAGGATTTCTCAGATCGTGGCAACCACGGACAACCGAACATTTGACTGACCATCAGAAAAACAATCGGCAAATTTTTGGATACCATTACCTTATAGTGACCATTTACAAAATGCTTCGCAACGAACTTATGAACAAGTCACAAAAATTCCACGTTATTTGCATTATTTTTCTATGAGGAGGAAATGTCTACTGAACACCTATTTATAGAGCTAGTAAATCCGAATTCCTCTTAAGATGACATGAAAGGCGCTGACAAATTTAAACGAGGTCGATAAATTGAAATTCATCTATACCTTCTTCGGTGGAAACACCATTTTGAATACTCAAGTGGAAACAAGCTGGCGTGCCCCGTTACCGACATTTATATTTATGTTGAAGTCTTTAACAGTCTACTTTGAGAATTATACGAACTGAAGCGTTCCATATGTCATGTCAGTTAAATAATGATAAAGTGTTCGATATAAAACTATCGAAATTCCGTGAATTCATTACTGTTTATATTCCAAGGGACCAACGTCGCCATCCCTGATGTTTAGCTGTAACTAAATTTTTGCTCTAAAAACACGTGTTGGCCACAGGACAAAGCAGCATTCCCTTACAACGGTTGGGGAATGTATTTTCTATATTTTCCCATTTAACTCTCTAATATTCCACTTCTACTGTACTCTAAATTGTTCGAGCTAGGTCCTGAAATTCTTCATTTTCGATTCTAAGCCTCCAAGAAGCGTAAAACATCGAAAACCTGCACGGACCACGCCATGTTGGCTTTAGTCCATGATAAATAAATAACATTTTCACGAAAAATGAAATTTCATGAGTTTCAGAGCCTACTTCAGGGCCTCCATATTCTCGTGGTAACATTTTAAACGAATCGGTACACCCAATTCGGAGAATACTTTCACTTCTCTGATATATATAGGGTGACTCTTTCATATCACCTTAAGAGATTGAATCACCTTGAGGACTGAAAATATCGGTTTTATTTTGAGTTCTGTTGTTAGTTTACTGTCATAGAAATATGACACAAAATGATTTAGAACAAACAATTTATAATTTTATACAGAAATAAATCAGTTTTAAAAACCATAAACGGGATTTTCTCTAAACAGCATTTTAAAAGTGGTGTACAACATAACTTTCACAATTTTTATTAAATTCAATTGAAAATAGAAAACGCTTTCATACATTCTGCTGTGAGGTACACAGGATTAATGCAAAATATTGCAAGCTCCTTCTGCACTTAATATTTACATAGGCAATTTTAATGACAAAAACGTTAAATTAAATCAAAATAACCACCATTTTGAAAAAGAAACAAAATTTTGATAATACTCCTGTGTTGTGCAACAGCACTGATCTATATTCTAAATAGAAGCTGATACTCAACAAAATGGCGTGCAGTTCCCAGGCATCGCTGAACGTGGAACATTCGTAAATTAATCGTACATAAATGTTTATTGAACATATGTTAGATATATATAGATATCTATGAACTCTATTTTAGATACACTCAAAGGCTAGATGTTCGGACATGGTACGTAATATATATATTCTACGTCTATATATAATTTTTCTGTGTCAAAAACAGCAGGATTTGTATCCATAGCTGCACTGAACACGTTCTCAAACAGACTATGCTAAAAAAATGTTATGAATTTAATTTTTTTTTTTAAATTAAAATATATAATATTCGTAGTATATCTACGTACTATATATACTATGTAGTATATATATATATATCGCAGATATCTACAATAGATTCACTACAAAATTAAATTCATAACACTTTTTGAGCAGGGTCTGTTTGAGAACTTGTTCACTACAGCTATGCAGACAAATCTTGCTGTTTTTGACACAGAAAAATTTGTTTGTAATTCTCGGGATTTGAACCCGGGACTTACGGGTAGGAAGAAAGAACCCTAACCATGATGCTACCATACCCTATGAAGTGACAAATATTTTTCGGACTTATGAAGGCCGCTCCGGTACTTCTCGATCGGTGCTAAAGATACTTATTGCATCTTGTTGTAAACTTATTCTTTAAAAAAAAAATCGTGTGATTGTAAAATTAAGTCATTTATAAAATTGTAACAGTACGTTATAAAACCATCTTTTTATTTAAAAGTGTATAATAAATGCATACCGATTGACTTTTAAGATACTAAACTCAATTTTAGTATAACCTTATATACTAAAAGTGCATGAATTCTATGAATGTTATTTAAAGATATTTCATTTCGATGTGCTCAATTTTTTAGTGTAACTACATTTTTATAAGTCTGTGAAAGCTGAATGTAAACTATTAATCTGAATATAAACTATCAATTTAACGCTTTTGAATAGTTTAGATTTCTATACAGGTTACCTAGACTTCTATGATATATGTACTAAAAATATAGACATAAAAAAGATTTTCACAAGATATTTTTATTATGCATACCATAGATAATGTAAGTTTTCCATATTTATGTCCTAATTTGTATGTCCACTATAAGTATATTATACTTCATATGGTACCTGGTAATACATCATAATTTACACAGTGGTAAAAAATTATAATGTATGGTCGCCAGCCAAAGAGGAAGAAAATAAAAAATCAGAGTATGGGTGAAATTAACAGTTTTATCAAGTTGCAATTTTGATATAACACATGAAGTATGTATGAAAAATGTTAGGTTGCATGAGGTGTCTTTTTATTTTTCTAAACGCATTTTCAACGATGTTGATTAATCTTTGGTAGATGTCTACTAGAGCAATTATATATTTTGTATGCGTCAAGAAATAAGTAGATATTTGTAGATCAATAACGGATATATATCGTTTAGATAGCTTTTAAGGTGGGTGATAGACATTTGCTATACCTATAGACCTAATTTAGACGATTAATTTACGTATATTCCACTTCATGGGTTGCCTGGGTTTTGAAGTGACCATAGTGCCTTTGGTTATGAGCACATCGACTAATATTGTAGTATTTGCGCATACGTCAAAACAACGCGTCTTTTAACTGCAGATAGTATAAGAGGTGTCAAATTGATTTACTGGAAGAAAGTAATTGTCAATTTTATAAAATTACTTACGAGAAAAAAGATTTGTTTTAATCGAAGCTTTCTTAGAATATGTATAACGCACCATTATACACGTCAATTATGTTTCTTCTATCCTTTTATATCTTAAACGTTTACCTTCGCGAATTGACAGTGGAACATTTTTTTTTGCTGCAATTGACAGATAGACAATTCAAAACTTGTGCACATGCGCACACGTTACTTATTTGGTATTGCTGCCCATGCCTAGTGACGCTGGTGTGTCTTGAATTCGTCGAAGGCTTCTCCGTATAGAAGGAATGGATATCAGCTATTCCGTTAGTATATAGATCAGGGTGGAACAGTCTTTCCCGTGTAGGTAATGAAGATTTTTTTATTTTATTTAAGAATGAATCGAGTGGCTGAAATGTTGTATACCGTTTTGCACAAATCCGCAAAAAAGGCGATTTGGCAATTGGGTCTGGACGCAACCATTTTGTACATGAAAAGAAGAAAGAAAAAACTGGTTCTTCAATAAATATAATAGAATCCTTTGAACAAGCATTTCATACAAAAATATATTTACCCTCAATAAATAATCAAATATAAATATGATTTTAAGGTCTAAGGCGTAACATAAACCCTTAACGGGCTACTTTAGTGTTGAAAGTCGCTCAAATTAATTTTCTTTTTTGATTGATTGAAATTAACTATTTATGAAGAAGAGACGGAAGAATATTGTATGGTGCAAGAGCAACCAGCTAGCGGTGAGTGTTCTAAATTACATGTTGTGTGAAAAACAAATACACGTAAAAGTTTAAACGTTTTTTCTTGAAATAACATTTTTTTTAATTCGTATCCGGAATCTCTCAACAACGGATAATTGATTAGAACTTTCTCAATTCATGCAAAATTAAAAATTTGCGACTTAAAAAATAAACCGTTTTTTTAACCGAAAATTAAAACTTGTTCTAAAACGCCACTATTTTAATTGAATTTTGATATTTATCGATAATTCTAGTTACAACAATAGTTGCACTCATGTAAACTTGAAATCTGTTTGTTTTTTTCTTTTTCAGACGTTTACGACAGCTACCTTTATGGTTTATTGAGAAACTTTTTTTACACATTCCGGTGGATAACGTAACATTCCAGAACAATTTCATATTTTTATTAAAAAAATTACGTGTACAGTTTCAAGCTAATAAAGATGTATATATATTTTTTATATAATTTCCAAAAATCACAATTTGACCGCCAACACTAAGGCGACCCCTTAAAGAGAGACCCTCGCGTTACAACGCTAAAAATAAGTCATTTTTAGAAATAAGAAAAAAAAATATATGTATATATAAAAGAGGTAAAAACTTTAAGCGCATTAATAATACATTTACACGATTAAGACTAGTTTAGACTAGTTTGATTTAATATATTTTCACGTAAAATATACCTATAACATTCATTATGTCAGTACAGAAAGGAGGTAGGATATTTTGCCGCCATTGTTTCGCTGCCGCCATTTTGCCACTGCCTCTTCGCCGTTTCGTTGGCGCCGGTGATAGTATATTATACCATATGATGTTACCGAAATCCGATTGGCTGTTCAATTTAAATTAGTTTCTAATTACCAATTCGGTGTAAAAAATTTAACCATCAATTCTAGGTAAAATAATAATGAGTAGTTTGGCAGCGTATAAAGGGTACAAACCCCCCCCCCCCAGCCACGCATTTCCGACCAGACAGGCAACAGCGAAACCGAATTGGTAAGATCGAAATCCAATTGACTGCTTAGTTTGAATCAGTCTCCAATCATCAGTTCGATGTAGTGATATGTATTGCCACTCCAATGCGGTTTGCCTTCCGAATATCAGTTTGATGTGGAAACCTGATTGGCGCTCCAATCTATTCCGTAAGTGGGACTAGGTCAGTTAAGTGGACCATTGTTTTGGATAATATGAGGGCGTATTATATTTTAGGATTGCTGACTGGCAGTGCAGTTAGTATCAATAAGCCTGGTATAGGTGGGGCTTGGATTAAGTCTGTTAAACTGTTGGATAGGTGGGGAAAAGCGTCAGCGGCGAATCGGCGACGACGAAATGGCGACGATAAAATAGCACAAGCGAAACAGCGACGGCGAAACGGCACCAACGAATCAACAGCAGCGAAAAAGCGGTGGCAAAACATCAAAGACCCCTGCAGAAAGGAGCTCTTGACCGGCGCCATCAGAACCCGTGACGATATGATTTGAAGTAAAAAAAGAAACTTATCTTAAGATATATATGAAAGATTACCGCTTGATCTAGTCTTAAAGTCAAAAAAACAAATTGGTGACTTTTAATGCACGTTTAAATCAAATGCTTTGAAAACCGGTTCCTTCGCATAATTTTGTTCATTAACAGAAGTGAGTGATTCAATAAAGACCTTAACAGATTAGAGAATAGCGAATCTAATTCCGAATAGAATGCCGCAAGAATTGTTTAAATAACTCTATAATTAAATAGTTTTACAATAACGTCCGATAAAAAAAAAACATTTTGGGAAAAACGCATTTAAAATATTTTTTTCATTCGAGAGTTAAGGTGATATGAAAGTAGCATCCGAGATAGTCAAGTTGAAATTTTTCGCTGAATTGGGTGTACCAAATCGTTCGAAATTTTACCACGTGAATATGAAGGCTCTAAAAAAGGTCCTAACAATAGTGAACGTTGACTTTTTTAAACTTCTATAAATATATATTTTATATAAAATATGAAATTTCATTACCACATAAAAATTGAATTTTTATCCAGAGTAGAATCAAGGTGGTCGTCAACATATTTTTTTGATATTTTATGCTTCTTGGAAACTTAGAATTGAAAATGAAGACTTTCAGGACCCAGTCATTACAATTAAAACATTGTAGTAATCGAATACTACAGATTCATGTGAAAAATATTGATAAAAGTGTTATAAATGAAATTCTCGGATATCCCATCAATGTGTGCTGTTAGAGTCAAAATTTTGTTGATGAAGATGACACGGTTGGTCAGTTAGGGTGTAAAAAATCATTAATTTAGTGAATTTATCAAGTGCTCGATCTCTTTATAATCATTCTACTGAAACAACGTTTGGAGTATAATATTCCGTACAACACTGAAAAAATACAACAGCAATCGATATAAATATAAATGCCGGTAACTGTTTCAGATGGTATAGCAGCTAGAAAAATCTTTCTCATTGATGTCACGCAAATTTCTCGACATCTTTCATATTACCTTAATCATGTGTATATAGAACAATGTTAAAGTGTTTCACCTGCAATTCCTGTATCATACAAGGACCTTTGACGTGACCATGAAAAAAAAAGCGGTTTAAACAAATAAAAACTTGATGGAAAAGTCTCTTTAAATTAACAACCTCACCTGTAGTTCGCACCAGGCGACAGCTACTCCTGTCTGCGTGTCAAGGCCACGATACACCGTTTTAAAGCTACCCCGGCCGATTTCTTCTTCAAACTTCAAAAACCGTCCGTCCGGTGAAATTCCAATGGCTTTCTCTTCATCATCGTCATCTTGTATGTTTTGAACTTTGACCTTCATTAAAAGATTTCTGACCTCTTCCATTGCCATCGTCTTCTGGGTTAGCTTTTCGTCCGCTTTAAAGTTTTCATCAAGTAGGGGACCTATGAATCCTTCAACAACCTCTTCCGACACAGTCTCCTCCTTTTGATCTTGCACATCCTCTTGTTCAACAGATCCCCCTTGTTCAGTTTCAGTATCGTCCATCATGTTTGCATCTAAAGGAGGTACTTTTCCCAGTTTACTTAAAGATTCATGAAGCGCTTGAGTAGCAACAATGTCACTGATACTAGTTCCGTTGTCATCCTCATCGTACGTACACACTTCATCCATATCCTGCTTCCTGCCACATTCCAGGTCCTCGCTTTTAAATTTCATTTCTTCTTCCTCTATCTCAGAAGTCAAGAACCTTGAATTTTTTAAAGTTTCTACACGAGGATCTTCTCCGTCATCTCTTTGCTGGTCACTACATGTCCTCCGTGTGCTGCTACTCTTTTCTTCAGGACTGCTGAAAGACAATCTCTTTCCAGTAATTGTTACTCGATCACATTCACCAGTCTGTGGTGGATCTTTCCTTTCGCTATCACTGGTACCGTTACCATCAATTGAGACAATGGGTACCCTCTTCGTTATCGACAGAACGTCCGCATTCGTTTCGGAGGTATTACCTACCAAATCTTTGAAAGTCCTTCGGGCAATTGCCTTCTCGTCATCGCCCTCAAATTTAGACGAGGATGCTCTCTCGACATGATCCACACATTTTACATAGGCACCGGATAAAACCTTTCGTTTAGTTTTAGCTGCCGTTTCACCTTCGAAATTGTTGGGCGAGACTTTCTGCACGGAAGTTGCTATCGCCTTAATCTGGGACGAATCTGCCGACAACAGATTCTCCTCGGAAGTGTCGAAAGCAATTAATTTCTGATTATATTCAGTCATATTTACTCCTGCATTTTCAGAGAGCATGTTCCGATCTACACACTTTTCCTCCTTGTTGACTCTCCTAGCTTTCACTTTCCCAGTAGGCGTGGAAGGTGTGGAGCTAATACCTGGACCAATCAAATGATATCTTTAACCTAACATTGGGAAAAATGTTTCAATATTTCGAATGCCCCATATATCCGGCCTTTAGTACGAAGCCAGAAACAGTGGCACTTAAAAACAAAACCGAACAAATATACAGGATGAAACAGAAATGGTGGAGACGATTTATACAGCGCTTTCCTTGTTGAATAAGGAGTCGAAAAGTCCTGTACTATTTCTTCCTATACTGCATAATTTTCCTGTAATAACTAATGGAAGCAAGGCCAATGAAGCGCCTTCCTCAATGGAAAGTGTAGCGGAGAGGACGCCGGGAAGGCTGCTACGCCGCAGACAGCCGGACGCGACCTCAGCGGCGTCCTCTTCGCCATGCTTCCCGTTGGGGAACGCGATTGATTGGCTGTGCTTCAATTAATTATTACAGGCAAATTATGCACTGTAGAAAAAAATAGTACGGGACTTTTCGACTCCTTTTTCAACAAGGGTAGCGCTATATAAACCGTGTCCACCATTTTGTGTTACACCCTGTATACGACATATAGAGGAATATTATTTCTACGTGAAAGATCGATCAACAGCATTCCAAATCTTGACCAATACGCTAAGATGACAAAAAACTCAGTGCAAATGGTAACATAAGTGTACTACAATGCGCTATTTTTAAAATACGTACAATTATGTATGTGTGCGTGGTCGAATATCAGTATATAAAAGTACCCGAGTTTTCGCGTACATGGCTTATGACATTCGTATACCTATATATATTTTCTTACACAATTGCCTACGAATTCTCACAGATACGGTAGAAAATTATTATGCCAGAGATTTTGAAATTTAATATTCGTGCCCTCTAAAATTCGTATACTTGTATACCAAAACTCTACAGAGTATTGTATACGAAAGAACTTCGTCCCGAACTACGCCATATGGTGAACAGCAATGCGTTATATATCAGGGTATAGCTCGAACTGGTATATTCACGAAAAAAACTTTAGCTCAATTCACTATATGCTCTAAGATATACAGGGTGGTGAAAAATTAATTTAACACCCGGTAGACTCGTCATCAAAGATATCGAACGTTATAAAAATGTCTGCCATATGTTTGAACTGTGCTTCCATAGATCCAATAAGGAGTCAAGCACAACCTGGATACCATATTATGGTAGCTATATGCGCAAAACAACTAACAATCCGAGCTGCGTTTTTATAAGTACAGTGATAAGCACGTATGGCGACCTTTCTTTCAGTTTTTTTTTCTACCAATATTTGAACGTAATACTTTGTTTTTTTATGTGCCTGGGTTGTAGTCTAACTTTTATAAACAAAATATCAACAACTACTAGTCCAGAGGAAGCAAAATTGATAGATGGAACAATCATTATAAAATTCAAGTTTAAATCATCTATCAGTGGCAACAAATTCACTGTAATATGACTTTGCCCGATTTATTTGATACCGTACGGGAGCTATTACATAAAGATCCCTCTCTGATAGAATCGGGAAATCCGATAGATCCTTATCATTGATGAAGTGGAATTGTCTCAACTAACGGTTAAGATTAATTTCTTTTACTCTTCCTCCGAAGGCATTTCATTAACTTGTTGTAGCCATCATCATTTTAGAGATTTCTTGAGAATTGGTAACGTTCGAGACAAATTGTGCATCTAACGCATGCATTTGCCTAAAAACCTCAAATTTGGCTAACATGAGCGACGAGCTCTTGTTAGCCAAATGACGACATTATAGTACACTAGCAAACACAAATGTCTTCTCTACAGATATGGCGCCGCTAATGTATGCGACAAGGCGCTCATTTTCGTCACTGTACTTTTGACCCTCAATTTCACTTCTACGCATACAATAGCAACTTGGGACCCTGGTATTATTGTTACACTGTCCTTTATATATTGATAAATAAGTCATCGCTGTTCCCCAGGGTTAAGTAAGTATAATACATCATGTAATCTACGTGATTTTCTGCGTGTATATTACGTATAATACGTCCCTAATTTTCTACGCGAGGGCAACGTACATTACGCCCTTCACTTTTTAAATAGAAAATAACAAATCCAATTAGAATTTTCATATTAAACAGGGTTAAGTCGAAAACATTTTGAATGCAAACATCAAATTAATTATTCCTTAACAATTTTTATGTGTTTATATGCGTGCTAAAAGATATTTATTGCCTAGCGGATATATATATCATGCACATACGGCACCCGCCATATTGGAAATGTAACCTTTTAAACAATTTTGAACGCAAGCGCCAAAATAATTTATTTTTGCTTAAAAACATTTACGTGTTTACATATGTGCTAAAAGGCGTTTATGACCTAGCCGATGCTGTATATCGTCCATCTACGGCATTCTTCATATTGGAAACATAATTTATTCGTTTTCTATGATTTTCTACGGTAAAGTACTTTGTTCACGTAATATACGTCAAAACCTCGATAAACGAAGAATTACCCAATTCTATTGTTCCCCCATGGTTGAGAGCGCATAGAAATAGAGACGAAGTTCCTTCGAAATAATGGATAGTAAACAAAAAATCTACTGTAAACATACTATATTTCGAACACACATTTTTTAATAGGGAGGTTTAGTCAGAAAATGCGGACATTATGTAAAGTTAAATTTATATATATGAGAAGTAACTACCTGATGTTCTGGATAATCTTTCAGTTGCAGTAATAGCTTCTTCAGCATCGCTAAAACTTCGTTCATTATCATGATCCAAGGAAGCTAAATTAAAACTACTAGATGACGATTTATCTGAAGAGTTCAGAACGGACGACGTCCTTTTCTTTGGGGAAGGAGTGCTGGTTGGAACTCCGTTGCTTGTTAATGAAATTGAGTCTTCCCGATTATCCACTCGACTTGTACGAAACTGCTTCTTACAGAACACTAAGGAAGGACGACTGACATTTGGCTGGACCTACAAGTAATTGAAATAATGTTAGAAGAAACCGCTACAAAACAAGTACGACGTCATGAAATATAGAATGTATGTTATTGAACAATTTTTAAATATCTGAATAATTTCTCGCAAGATATGGTATCAAGATGTAAGAAATTATTAATAGAACCACGGTTGTTATTCCTCTCAGAATATTATATATTGGATTGTAGAATAATTTCAAAAAACGTTTTAAATTTTTAGTTAATTTAAAGAAACATCAATAATGTAAGTACATTCAAATAACCAGCAAAAGAATTACAACTTCATAAAAATGTACTGCCTGGTATTCGTTTACAACAGAAAATTTGCTGCGTACGGTCGGTTAGAATACCAAGACTTTTAGTAAATATTGAAATCACTATCAAATATAACTTAATATGATGTGAAAGTGACATCAACGAGGTCTCATTTATGAAACTTTTTTCCAAACTGGGTGTACAGAATCGATTCAAACTTTGCGATATAAATGTGGAGGTTAGAAGGAAGGTCCTGAAACTCATGAAATTTCAATTTTTTTAAAATTTGTTCATTGATATTTTTTAAATTAGTTATAAAAAATAAAATTTTATGAGTGTCAGGACCTTTCTTATAGCCTCCATATTCAAATTGTAACGTTTCAAACGATTCAGCACACCCAGTTCGGAGAAAAGTTTCATGAATGATTGACTTCTCTAATGCCACTTTCACATCCCCTTAAGATTCTGCTCCTATTTATGAACAGAACTAGCTGACAAGTATTCTCTTCTGAAAGTACAGAATGTGTATGAAGGCATTTGTTTGAAGCCATTTCTGACTGTTGTTACATCATAACAAATTGTAATAAAGAAATAGCATCTAGTTGTGGCGAAGACAGCGATCATGGAGAGCGAACTTTGCACCCAAACAGAAGTCGAGAATCCCAGAGCCCAAAGCTCTATTCCTAGTCGATATCCCCTGGAAAAGCTGGACTTCGACAGGACGATTCATTGCGTTAATTAGTGTCAAAGAGAAAGGACTAGAACAAAAATTGCGAAAAACTTAGAGTGCGGACTTAGAGGATTCCAGAAACGTCGACACATTTAACAATTAAATCACGGTACTATACCATTTCCAAATTTCCCAAAATATTGATTTTGTCCTAATTAAATCTCATCGGCTATTCTCTGTTGGTTTAACCCTTTGCGGACGAGTGTTGGCAAATAGCCGCCCAGAAGCCTTTATAAAGGAAATGTCGCGTCCGTAAAAGGTTAACCAAACCAGTTGAGTATTAACTGACTTTTAGAGAAATCCTATTGAGTATTAAATCTGTATTCGTAAATTTTCAACGAACTTTAATCAAGTATAAAGAGACTCTATTGAATGTTAATTCTGTATTTATAAATTATCATTGAATGTCCATTAACTTTGAAAGAAATTTCATTCAGTATCAATGACGTATTTGTAAATTATCGTCGAATATTAATTGACCTTTAGAGAAATTCCATTGAGTAATTGCATAGTTATAAATTTTTCTTGAATATATACTAAGTTTTATAGAAATCCTCCCAAACATTAATTATGCATTTGTACATTTTCGTTGAATATTAACTGTGTTCTAGGAAACTTCTGTCGAGTATTAAGAGGATATGAAAGAAGCAGCCTGTATATATTGCAACGTAGTTTAATTTTGGTCCCTTTCCGAGGGATACCTATTTGTCACAAAAGGACCCTAAGTCCCGATGTCCTTAATCTCCGCCCTGGCTCGCACCCACCTCTGAGCACGCACACGCGAATCCTAGACCGGTTGGGCGCCAGGCGTCCTAAGACGCCGAATTTCGGGGGACCTTAGGCCGCTCTTCCCTAAGGGCTCGGGCTCTCCACGCGAGAGCGGAGCCGGAAGGCGAGGGCGAAGGATTTATCCCCGACTTCTCCGAGACCTGTCCTAACTCCACTTTCACCCGGGGCGGTCGCCTCGCGCGATTACAACCCGGGATGGCCGCTAGTCGCCCCGTGCGACTAATTGGCCCTGAAGGGCGGAAATAAGAGGGAGACGAACGGAATCCAGGATACAAAATATCCAGAGCTACTATCCGCGACTTCAACTGGGGAGGAGGACGTTACCCGCGGTGTGGGCCCAGGCTCCGGTTACCTGGTAGCCATGCGGCCTACCGGCTCGACTGGCGGTCCTCCGGCTCGGTGGTCGTCGCCGGCGTCGTTGTGGTCCAGGCGAGACGGTGGTCCAGGGGTGTCGTGGTCTTCCGAATTTTGGGGAACCAAGACGGACGGGCCGCGGCCGACGGCCCGTTTTGTATGGGTTCCCCCTCCCTGGATCCGGTGACTTAGCCACGTCCCATTGGCCTAGTTTCTGGCCTAGTTGACCCAATTAGGCGTCTTCTGGTTCCCCGGTGTGGATCCTCGGCTGGCGCGCTCCCGGGATGGGGCGCCGCCGGGGAACGGCAGGCTGCCGGCTCGCGCCGTGCGCGAGGTTCAGGGTCGGCACCTGTGAGGGCCTCCCCGCACTCGGGCCGGTTGATGTCCTCATCTGAGGCGTCCCTCGTCCTTGTGGCTGGTCCCGGTTGACCTGGGGCTCGATCAGGGCCGTGGCCCCAGGTGTCCCTCCCTTGAGCAGGTCGCCCTGGATGGCCTCGGTGGTCCTCGAGGTGCCACTTAATCCTCATTGTCGTGGTTCTTTTTGGCACGTCCGCCGTACCAATACATGGCCGCGGACGGGCTCCTCGGGGACGCAGAGACGCCTCAATTTCATCGCGAGATTGCGGTGGCCCTAAGGAAGAACGCATGGCTCGTGAAATTTCATTTTTCGACAAAAAAAATGTATGCTCGTGTCGGACAAGAACCAAAAAAGAAATTTTTTGTTCGAAAAATGAAATTTCACGAGCATCGCGTGCGTACTTAGGATCTTCATAATCACGTGTTAAAGTTTCAGATAATTCGATGCACCCAATATGGAGAAAAGTTTAATGATTATTTTTTCATTTTTATGCATATAGAATGACCCTTTCATATCACCTTAATTGTTGGAACTTCTGCAACTTGCAATCTTGTTGACCGAACTCTTCTCCGAATCCCTTAACCACTTGCGCTATAAAGACGTGCCACGCACATCGAGATGCTTTTGTTCCAAAATTGCCAGCGACATGTATACCACGTCGGCTAACAGTTGGATCGTTCATTATTCGAGCTACAGTTCCAGAGTGCACGACATCGCGTAGCGTCATCGATATGTTGGAAATATTTCAGAATCGATAGGGTATGTTGTACGGATGTTATACCGCATGTTATATTGTAGAGCGCGGCACGGCAACCGAAAATTAAATCGTAGCGCAAGTGGTTAAACCGAGACTATTAACGCATCACCAATGCTTGAGTCCTGGTAACCTTTTTGGGAGCACATTAGCTACCACGTCATTGGTGAGCATGTATTCGGCTGGCAGCTCTTTCCTCTTGATCAACTCCAATAGAAAATGGAGCCGAATATCAATGTGTTCAGACCTCGCATAAAAGACCGGGTTCCCAGCTAGCTTCATTGAAGACGACAATATCGGCCATCTTAACCTGTCCGATCTCCAGTAAGAACCTTCGCAGGCAGACGACCTTCTTCTCGGCGTTCGATAGTTCCATGAAGTCCGGTTCCGTTGACGAAAGCGCTCCGCTCCGGTGCTTCTTTAACTCCTAGCAAATAACACCAGCGGATAATGTAAATACTAAGCCCATGTATGTACGATCTTCGGTCTACGACCCCCCCCCCCCCGACCCGCCTGCCCGCGTATCCAACCGGCCTCGGATCGCCCTTCTCGAAAACGAGCTCAACGTCAGACATCTCCTTTAGATAACGCAACACCCACTTGGTGGCAGCCTGGTGCTCGTTATCTGAACAGTCGTTGAACTAGCTCAGCGAGTTCACCGCGTACGAGATGTCCGGACGCATGGCCACGGCGAGGTACGTGAGTAAGCCGATTAGCTCTTACAAGGAAGGTACCTGAGGTGTCCCCCTCCGATTTTGTTCATTTTTAAAAATGTTACAAAGGACCAAAATCTAAGGAACCCGTGTTTTTTTTTATCGGCGGATAAACACTTTTAGGGGGTGAAATCAGGTTTCAAGGTTGGCCGTGTAAGGGGGTGAGTTAACTATTTCATATAGAGGCACTCGACCGATTTTCATGAAACAACCGTCAAAATGTAGGGAATGAAGAATTATGAAACATGCATTTGGAATTTTTCGAAAAAATTCATTTTTAAGGGGTGAGCTACCCCTTTGAATACTTCTTTTACCCCTTACGCGAGCAGTAATAATTCTATCCTAATGAAACTTTTTTTGTATTGTTCTGGTCTATAAATTAACCAACTTTCATTTGGATAGAGCAATCACTGCTCGCGTAAGGGGTAAAAGAAGTATTCAAAGGGGTGGCTCACCCCTTAAAATTGAATTTTTTAGAAAAATTCCACTTGCATGTTTCATAATTCTTCATTCCCTACATTTCGACGGTTGTTTCATGAAAATCGGTTGAGTGCTTCTATATGAAACAGCCAACTCACCCCCTTGCACGGCCAACTTTGAAGCCTGATTTCACCCCCTAAAAGTGTTTATCCGCCGATAAAAAAAAACACGGGTCCCTTAGATTTTAGTTCTCTATAACATATTTAAAAATGAACAAAATCGGAGGGGGACACCTCAGGTACCTTCCTTGTTAGTAGGATACTCTTCCGAGCGTCTTCACAGGGTCCCTCTTCTCTCCTTGCCAACTTCGAGGTTCACGAAGAGTACGGGTCTCGAATCTTACATTCCGAAGCCTCTGAGGATGTTCTGTATATAACGCCTCTGTGAGATCAAAATCCGACTCCTGTTGTACGCGATCTCGATTCTCAGACAATATCTGATGGGGCCCAAGTTCCGCACCTCGAAGTCTGCGGTCAGTCTCCGCTTCAACTGACAGACCCACGACAATGTGCGGGAGGCGACCAGGATGTCGTTCATGTAAACGGCAACGAGCAGCAGCTCT